TGCTCAGCCACAAGCCAGGCTGATGGCTGCCAGTACAGTGGTGGTGGTGGGAGGCTCTCCTGCCTCCTCAGCAGTGCTAAGGATGTCCGACTGCAGTTTAGGCCTGCTCCCCGCTGGCAAGTGGACATCCCCCAAGGGCTGCTGGGCTGGAGAGGGATGTCTGATTGCCATCTTACGACCAAAATCCTGGGGAGCGAGCCTGAGCCAGCAGATGGTCATCCCCTGAGGGGTCCTAGACTGCGAGAGGGCATAGGCCAGGCTAAGGGACCTCCTCTCCCCCCCACCCGAGTGCACCAATTTTAGTGCACTGGGCCTGTAGTTATACTATAATACACTATGAACCCGGATTGGAATGCAGCCATAAAAGTTTCCAATACCTTCTTTACTGAAGTGAAGTGACCCACTAGCATTGCTGACAGAGGGGAAAGTTGAATCCTCTCCCACAGGGAAATTCTGTATGCTTATACCTGGGCAAGCTGAGCTTTCAGGATATGTACATGCCAGTAACAAGCAGAGTGTGTGTGTGTGTTTACCTTGAGGTCACTTACCAGTTTATAGAAGACGAGTGAGTGAGAGGTAGGGAAACAAACCAAAAGTATACTTCTAGCAGAAGTCCCTCATGAAAATATGGGCCAGGGGAATGAAGGGTCCCCCCACTAATAGAAAGTGTGTTTTATAGATCAGGATATTGTTAATGGGGAATGTTTGGGACTTGACGTGTCAAAAAACTCTCTTGGGCCGTATTACCTATAGAAGACACTTCTCCATTCATTTTCCCCCCTAATTAACTTTATTGGCTAAATCATTTCATTAATTTTTCTCCCACAGTATAAAAGCGAGGATGGAGTTCATAGCTATTTAATTTTCATAAGCTATTTATGAGAAAAACTCACCTAATTTATCCATGAAAATATGTCTCACTTGATATTACTGCATCATATCAGACAGGTGTGTGATTTGTATCTACTCTGCAATGCCCTCACTTTTGTCTCTGCATTATTTCTTCTCCCTTTCTTTTGTTTTTCTTAAGGCATTTGTACAGCCTGGAATTACTAGAATAACCCCATAGTTCATATATAATTACTAGAGGCTCTCCAATAATGTGTTTTGTTTGTTTTTATTTTGCAGGATAAAGTAAAGCATTTACAGAAGGCTTTTGCTTCAAGAGTAGATAAATCCACACAGACTGAAGTTCTAGGCTATGATGTAAGTAGCTATATAAAACCATTTTTATCTTCTTTATTGGTATTCAGACTTCCACAATCTTATTTGCCTCCGCCGCTACTGTGCCCATGCATTGTTTTAAAAGAATTTAGTGATTCACTATTCATCTTTTACTCTTAAATAATTCCCAAATACCCTCTAGAACTGAAAAAGATAATTACAGGCACTGACTAGCATACAAATATTTTATAATTATTTTTAAACCAACATCTTTGAATTAGTTAATTTGCAGACATGTAGATTGATACATAATAGGATACAGTCCTTTGAATTAGTTAATTTGCAGACATGTAGATTGATACATAATAGGATACTAGGACAATTTATTTTTAAGGGAGTACTAATTTATTTATTAACAGTGTAATAAAGTTTGCAGTCACCAAAGCTAAGCACATCATTTTTATAATCTAGAACATAAAAGGAAACACAGCTTAGCAGAGAAATTTATAAAAAAATATTTTAGCTCTTGGGCTTTAGTGCAGGCTACAGAAAGTAACCTAATTGAAAGTTAGCATTTTTTTCTTCATATGAAATACTTGTTGAACTGTCAAAATAAGATTGTAAAATGTGTTTGAATAGAAGATTGCCTTAAGTAACACTGGATGATTTTGGATAACTTTGATTCAAATACCTATTTTTTTTCCTTACGTGCAGCTATGAAATTTTCATTTTGCCTAAGTTTATGACTTTAAACTTCATTTTGATGAAAAAATAGAGGCTTTATCTTTATCTGTAGGTAACATTTGTGAACTCTCTCTTCTAGTTAAAAACATTTATTACAGAATTATTAGCACCTTAGGACAAGTATAAATAGAATAAAGATAATTTTAAGTTGTTTATGAAGGTATGTAATGATACAATGTATGTTTATTTGCATGTCCTCATTATATTGAACAACATAAATATGGATATTACTTTTATGTTGCTTTGCAAAGTATATTAACACACTTAATATAAAGATATTTGTCTCTTGCCGAAACCGGTTTGGCTCAGTGGATAGAGCGTCGGCCGGCGGACTGAAGGGTCCCAGGTTCGATTCTGGTCAAGGGTATGTACCTGGGTTGCGGGCACATTCCCAGTAGGGGGTGTGCAGGAGGCAGCTGGTCGATGTTTCTCTCTCATCGATGTTTCTGACACTCTATCTCTCTCCCTTCCTCTCTGTAAAAAATCAATAAAATATATATTTTTTAAAAAGATATTTGTCTCTATTAGGAAATAAACCAAAGTTTTTAATTCCAGTGAAACTTGGTCTTCAATAGTTACATGCAGTATTTTTTTAATTTAAAATAAAAACACTAGAAGCTATGCTTTTATTTTGAACTTTTCTTACATTTATTTTAATATGTTTTTGAGAAACCTAAATCTTCTAGATTTCAGTATTGTGACTATAATACTTCTTGAATACCAGTGTTATGTATTATTTCAATGATGTTAATGCTTCATATTTTAAGAAAAATTATTTTTATTAAGTTTAAAGAGGAATTTTCATACATATTTCAATATTAATCTTTTTGGAGGAGTTTTTTTTCCTCTTTAAAAGTTTTAAATACACAGTATTTGCATATCTGTGCCTAGGATGTAAACCCAGTATGTATTTTTACAAATAATAGCCTATATATTTTTAAGTCTTCAAGGCAGAGAGTTATCCAATAAGTAATGAATCCAGAGTTCCCATAAAATCTTATCCCAATGTAACAAAAGCACACAACCCAGGAGCAAGTTAACTTATAACCCTATTTCAAAGCCCTGAATTTTCAAATAAGTTAATTGAGTTCCGAAAAGTGAAGTCACTTGTTCACTACCACATGGTAGTGGTAAAAATCTAGTCTTTTATGAAAAGTAATGTGTTCTTACAAAAAGTGGAACACCTTTGAATTTGGACAAATAGTCCATTTTACCCAATATAAGGAAATTATATTTGGGCTATTGAATTCTAAGTGTCTAAATGCCTGAGTAAAAATATAGGATGTAAGAGATCTGTAACACTTAGGACTGCTTGTGAGAAAGAGCTGCTAAAAAATGAATTGCATGGGGGAGAGGGGAGGTGGAGTGCTAACTAAGCTGAAGCTACTAGCAGCAGCTTATGTATTTTCCCATCTTTGCCTCATAATTTTGTTGTTTCCACATAAATTTTTTTATATCAGAGCTATTTCGTTCTCTAACCATGGAAATAAAATTAAAGTCACAAACATAGTTAATCCTTATTATTAAGTCCTCATTGTCAAATCCTCATTGTTCCTATCTTTTTTCATATCTGACAGAACTTAATGTATTTGACTGGATTGGGTTATGTTAAAGAATAATGATTTCTTGGTAGTGAGTCCCTAAAGGATTCCTTGTACAAGCATCTGTTATTATTTTGGTAGTTGTTAACATAGACTAATAATCTTTTTTGAAGACTTCATGTAAACAATTCTTGATAACATATTCTAGGATATAATCATCAGAATTAGAAAATTAATTACCAAATATATTCATATAGATCTCGATGCCAGTTATGAGAGGTAACCATTGTAATGAACTTCAGAGCATTCTCCCTGGGGAGGAAGAATTTTAAATAAATTAGAAATAAGTAAAGCATTTTAAAAGTGTTTCTTGTGTGACTATCTGGAATATATGATATATTGCCACAACTAGGAAATATCTTCTATACTTTTCAATATTTGTTTATAAATAATTTTCACATTTTATATGCAATAAGAATAATTAATCTTTTAATTTATAATATTTTGTTTGCATTTTTTCTCAGGAAATGTAGTTTGACATAATTTTTCACAAATATATATAATAGAGGCCCAGTGCATGGATTCATGCACCAGTGGGGTCCCTCGGTCTGGCCTATGGGGATAGGGCCAAAACTGGTTCTCTGGCATTCCCGAAGGGTTCCCAGATTTCGAGGGGACAGTTCTTCGGTGATGAACCCTGGAATTGGGCTACCTCCTCTCTGGTTCTGGGTGCGTCACCCAAGAACTGCAGCTGACAAGTCACTGCAGCTTGCTAGCTCCTGCATTGAGTGTCTGCCTCCTGGTGGTCAATGCACATCATAGCTACCTGTTGGCCAGTCAAACGGTCGCTTAGACTTTTATATATATATAGATACCCACATAGAATATACTTCTTTATAATTTGTAATACTATTTGTTAGAAAAAATAATTAAAAATCTTGTAAATATCTTGCATGTTATTGATGATTCTTATACTCCCTTCTTCCTTCCTAAAGCTGCCAAATACTAGCCACAAATTTTTCTTTATGGATCATTATAAATCATGTTTTAGTGATAAGATTGTCAGACTATGAGAGATTACAAGTATGCATTAGTATAATTTCCTTGGGAAGATAGCTGTTGTTACACATTTTGCTTAAGATAGAAAATAGAATCCCCATTAGACTTTAATTATAGTGAAAACTATTAAAAGAAATTTCTAAAAATTCACTACAGTGAATAAGTTCAAAGATTTGTTCAATAAACTACTCTATTCTGTACCAGATTCATCAGGAGATTTAAAACTAATGTTAGTGTACAATGTGCTACAATTTGAAATGCACCTGGCACAAATTATTGAAAAGTAAATCCAGAGTGCCTCGGCAAAGCCTGTAAACACAGTAGTTCTTGTGATGAAGGAGATTGTTAAATAAATGATGAATGTGTCTTAAATAATCAATGCCAATTTAACCTCTTTCACCTTCCTCTGTCTGCACAGGCTTAGTTTATTGAAAGATCAAAGAATAATTTCTTAGGTGTCACTTGTGTTATTAAAACAGGGTAGAAGATGAATAGATGTAGTCAAGTTAGCAATGCTGCCGATGATAAGATTACATAAGAGGTGGGGAAGATTCTTCTAATTGTATCAACTAAACAAAGAGATGCTTCACCGTAGCATAGAAGCTGTCTGTAAACATAGTTTGAACTACTGCAAATAACAGTTTGGTTAAAATAACTGAGATTGAATATCCACAATCCTCAGTGAAGATTTTATATTCTGACACTGAGAAAATGCAGGTACTTTTATTAACTTGACATATTTGTGGGTAGCTTTGTTTTCTCAACTTTCTTTTGATGTTCTAAGAAGATTGCCTTTTTAAATGTGGCTAATTGACTAAGTGCACATGTTCTTTTCAATTACTGCCTGAACGTGGAACAGTCATAGGGTTTCTAAGTTGCTCTTTTAGGCAAAAGTGCTAACATTTTTAAAAGGTTCTTCTTTTCATTTGTGAATGTTTTGTTCTTATATTTAATAAGTGTTTTTAGTAGTTTTGAACTTTCAATTATTTATATTTTCTTTGAGTTTTGAAGTTATTGGATATATCATCAAATATAATTTATCACTGCTGTCTAAATACCATTAGTGGTTTTAATTTGCTTATTTAAAATGGACTGAATTGTGATATCACACATATTTTGTCTCAGCCACATATGAATGAAGCATACATCAATTTGGAAATGTGTTCTCAAAACACTGTGTTTTTCAAATATTTTAGCACATTTTCCAAAATGTGAGATTTGCTTTATAAATATAGTTTTCTGCCTATATGCTAGAGAAAAAATTATGAATATACATTTTGAAAAACTGCTCAATGCTTTCTGTGTAGTCTCAATCTATACTACTTTTCTTAGATTTAATTTTGGAGAGCTCCTGGCACAGTTAGTAGTGTGCAAGGAGTTCTAGCTAATATGAAAATAGTTTATCATGTAAGTAATAAAATTATTATTTTTTACTGTAATTGTTTTATTAGCTATTGGACAAAGCTATTTTTGTTATGGTAATGTATTATGTCAGCCTTATGGCTTAAGCCTAATTCTAAGAATTGAATAGCTCTCAATTAAGCTCTCATCTTCCTGCTAATAAACTATAGTTTCTACCTGGGATTCATTTGTTCCTACCATCTCCTTTAATTCAATACTTCTAATCAGGCATCAACATGCCCAGCATTTAGTAGATGAGTGTGGCCCCCACATACTTTATTTATATTTATTTATCTC